AAGTGTGCAAAACACTTTACACTACGTGTCCGGTCTATGTGCTCTCTGGTTAGTGCTCGTACTGCGTATGGTATACACGAGTATGCATGCCAAATTTCAACTCTCTAGCTTTTGTATCTTCTGAGATCGACGCACTCATACAGACGGACGGACGGCCGGACAGACGGACAGGGCTATATCGACTCAGCCCATTGTCCTGATCAAGAATATATATACTTTATGATTTCTTTTGCCCGTTACATACTTTTACACAAAACCATTATACCCTGCTTTCTCATTTTCAATGGGTTCAGGGTATACAAAAAATTTTTGCTTCGCTACGGAGCATTTGCATTGTTTTTCTCTTTTCCTTTTCTGTTGCTTCCGTAGTTGCTCTCGTAACTGCTCTCGTAGTTTCTCTCGTAGCTTTTGTCGTGGCTGCTTTCATATTTGCTTCCATAGCAGCTCTCCATTTTGTCGCGTGCCACATATTCCCGGTATAATTGTTTGCATGAATTTCTCTAAGTCTTTTTTACAAGCGCATAATATTAATTTAGCTCTTGTGTAAACCTGCATCCTCGAAAAAACTCGTTTGATATTTTTAAATATTTTGGAGACGATGGGTCGTGCAAATCTTGTGATCGGGTTTTAAAAGAAATTTAAAAAAAAACATATTACTGGAGTGCACAAAATAAGAATAGATTATCAAGATAATGAGTACTCTTGTTCAGAAAACATATCACAACCCAGAAAAGAAACACTCAAAGTTAAAATAAACAAAAACCAGTTAATTCGTTCGCACATAGGACTGGTGACAGAACAAAGTGTACCTTTCAATGTTTTAAATTCGGAAAACATGAAAAACATAATATATCCTATTTGTGACGGTCTTACAGAAAAGAGCGGAAAAAGCTTTAAGCTAAATGGCAGTAAATGCAAAAACATGCTAAAACATGTGGCTGAAAACATTCGCAGTGAAATGCGCATCTCGGCTTAACCGTAATATTTTTGGAATTAGCGCGCAATTTATTAATGAAAATGAAATTATCTCCCGGATATTAGGCTTGTCTGAAATTAAAGGCACTAGTGGAAGTACATCTAAAAATCTGGCCAAAGAAATTGTAGCCACTTGTCCAAAGTCCAATATCCGATTGAATCAAATAGTTTCAATTACTTCAGACAATGGAGCTAATATGATTAGAACAACAAAAATTTTATCACATATCTGATGATGATTTTGAAAGCACAGAGGAAGTGGAAAAAAACATAGACTACACTGAGAAAATTGATAATTTGAGACTCCTGAAGAATTGCATGTGGGTAATATACAAATATGCCGGTGTGTAGCACATACTGCACAACTTTGTGCACTTGATGTTTTAAAAAAGGCAGAAATTAAAAGCTATTTACCTCAATTTCGTAACATAACGAAATACATTTGTAAGCCATATGAGAGCAGCTACGAGAGCAATAGGAAAGGAAAAGAGAAAAACAATGCAAAAACTCCGTAGCAGTAGCAAATAAAATTTTTTTCATTTGCTCTGCTCTCATCTCGCTTTCAATGCTTGTGCTATCGCTACAACTACAAATAACGACAAATTTTTTGCTATTGCTATTGCTCTTTGCTCCGATGTTCTATGCTATGGAGCAGAGCAGAGGAGCATTCATTTTGTTTTTGTACTGTCTGCTATGCTATCAGAGCAGTAGCGAGAGCAAAAAAAATACTCCGTTGCAGCATAGCATTTTCAATCAGTGGTCGTGAACAAAAATTTCAAATTTTGTGCGCGGTTGAGAGTGATGATTTCAGCGACCATAGAGAGCGAGAAATAGGGACTGAGAGAGAGAGAGAGAGGGTAGAAATAATACACATAGCTGTTCTTCATATGGAATTGGGACCATTTGGATCGAGCGCTCACAGCGCACTGTTTTTGTCGTGCAGTATTTACACTGCTCGAACCTCCAGCGAGCCGAGCAAATACGAAGTATAGTGACCAACTTAATAGTTTCGAGCTGTAGAAAAATTTGTTCTACACGTCTAGTCTATGTGTTCTCTAGTCAGTGGTATAGTATAACTTGTTTTTTATTTGTCTCTTTTTATGTTATTAGCTTTTTGTAATTAATCTTTGAACCGTTGATAAGCTCGTCTTAACACCGGTTTTATCCCTAATCTTGGTAGTCGATTCATGGGATTAATGCTCGTCTATCTGCATATGAAATCACATGATTATTGCCGCTGCCAAAACTAAAAATATTTTTTAAGAAATCGAGTACTTTGAGCTCCACAAAAAATTGGGTGAGTGCAATTGCCAAAATAAGCAAGATAACTACAATTGCATTTGAGGGCGCTAATTTGATACGCAAAATAAGTGCACGCATTCTATTCGAAAATAAAGAAGAATGTAAAATAAAACATAACTGGCTTTCTCTCGCGCTTTTTTTTTTTTTTTTTTTTTTTTTTTTTTTTTTTTTTTGTTATGAGGAACATCTCATATGATGATAATAATAATAAAACAAAAGTTAAGAGGTTGCGTGCAATTGGCAAAGAGAAAAGTTTAAAGGAAAGGAGTGTAAGCGGGGGCACTAACCTTACGACGAGCAGTGTATGTGAATTCATATTTTTACTAAATTATATGTTTTTAAGTGACACAGATATTATTATTTGGCGAATTGTCTGCATTTATTAGCAGAAGTTCACTCGTGTTTTGCCCCCTATCTACGACAAAATAATAATTTTAGGTTTGGTTTGCTTACACCAAATCCTGTAAATTTAACGCATTCAAATTACCCTTAATAAAAGCCAATATCCAACATTAGAGGCAATTTATTAATTCGAGTAATTATCCGCCTAATGCTCAAATTTTTTTTGTGATAAGTTAGATTAGATAATTATTTAATAATTAATTTACAGTGCTTCTGACATTAATTGTTACTGTTTTATCAGAATGATTAGTATTTACAGATACAGTAAGATTTTTAAAAGATATAAGCCATTTTTAATCAACAATGAAAATAATAAAAATACTTTTTTAATTTAAATGAAACCCTTTTTCCTTTGTTGCTGTTAATAATCGATCTTTCATAATTTCTTCAGACGGGTAGTCCGGAAGCTTTAAGTAATGAACGCAGGTATTCACAGATGGATAACTTCCTTGTCCAGCATCCACTTTTCTTACGACTGTAAGCCTAGGATGTAAATTAGCCAATCCTCCCGGAGGCAGGCTACTACAGCCTGTAGTAAATTGCAAAAATGCTTTACGCTCAGCGCCCGAAAAGCTCAAAAGAACATTAACAAAACGTAAAAATCCAGGACTAGAAAAAAAAAATTAGTGAACGCAATGTAAATTGATGTTTGAGCCTTACCTATCCTTGGAATAGCCTAATTTGGGCTCAGTAAACGCCATTAGATCCTCGCGGCTCCATTGAGGATATTGCTCTCCACATATCATCATTCTAGCTTCGAACGGGTTAAATGCGGCCAATTTATTTAACGGAAATACTTCGCAAAACCCATCATAGAATGCCTGCATTTGCTTCGCAATACCATCGTGCAACATAAAGTTTACAAGCAATTCCCAATATGCTTCAAGGTTATTTATATTGACTTCAGTTAAATATCCATTTGGAATAAGCTCTACGTATGTATATCCATACACAGACGAGCTTGGCAAATAAGTAAATGTGAGGCCCAGGTCTTCCAGAGCTACTTCAATATCATTTTTAGTGCGCAATTTAAGATTCTTTATCAACTTTTGTTTTTCTTCACAGTTTAAAGTGTCATCTATATCAATAGCTTGTTTACGCATTAACAAGTCCTGTAGTTCAATTAAAAATTGATAACGTGTTGGATCAATTTCTTTTAAGTTTTCAATATTAAGAATTCCATTAATCCAGTTGCACTGTGTAAGATCCCCGTTTAAAAATTGTGCATATATATTTGCAAGCTCGGTATCTTTCGAAACAACTGAGCTCGCCATCAGATCTTGGAAACGTGATTTTGACCTAAGCTTTAAATCATTTCGAGATAATACTTTGTTATGACAAAGTAACTGTAAAAATGAGTTGGACAAGGGCATATCAACAAGTCGCATATCCTGCAATACTTTGGCAAGAAAAACGCCGAAAAACCAAAAATATTTAGAAACCTGCTCACAGAGTTCTGAATCTTGTGGCAAAGGTGCTGGGAACAATCCATTCTCGCGCCTATTTACGTAATATCCAACGGGCTTCGAGCCATCTTCTATGTTGTGAAATTGAGGTTCGTTATGAGTTTCACTATATTCATCATCACATAGCCACATACATAAATCAGATCGTTGAATTTCTGCAGCTACTAAAGCATAGAATTCAAGTGTTGGACCTAGTCCAGTTCCTTCTTCATCTAAAAACTCTACTTCTAGCACAGACTTCCGATTACAATGTGCCTTCATGACTTGAATAGCCCACTTAAGTAAATCTTTATTCCGTGGAACTTTTACACGCTCGTGTTTTAATCTTCCAACACGGAAGTCATGTTGATCGTCTCGACGTGGACTCATAATGGGAACTCTTTGCCGTTCAGTTGTCAGATCACGTTGAGATTGTAAGCATACAATACTTCTAGATGCTCCAAATGCAGTACAATTAAAATATAATTGTCGGGTCTCGAACGGAAATAAAAATGGACAGGATTGATTTAAATCCTCACACCAATTGGGCAGAGCGTTGCTTGAAAGAACAAGAGGATCATGAATTTGCTGCTGTAACTTATTTGTAATTTTTTTGCTCATAAATAGCTCAGCTGGTAAATATGAACTTTTTTGTAATGATGCGGTATTATCGGCGGATTCAGTTTCATATTGATTTAGTGCGTTAATTTGTGTAAGTAACTCTAAAACATCCTCGACGGAGCATAGGTTATTGTCAGTTATACTTAATCCACCATGGACTGGGGAGTTCGGCGATAATGTCGAAGCACCACTTCTCGATGAAACACCTGGCGTTTTTTGTCCTTCAGGTTCGATATACGAACATTCCTGAACTGTTGGATATGTTTCACGATAAACAATTGTATAGGTCGGCTCCCATAATTTGCGAAATTTGTCATTTTTATTTATTTGACTGTTTTGTAATAGTTCTTGTACTGCTCTAAATATAGTCCACTCACTATTGTCCAAATCAATTTCAACGTCTGGAATTCCTCCGACACCAGGCCCGCGCAACTTTAAGCTAAGCGTTGTTAGCTCAGGGATTATTTTTTCACTTTGTTGAGAAGCTTCCAGATTTGTGTCTGGTGGACAAATTTCCAAATCGGAAGTCTGATTGACATTTGTACGACCTGGTCTAGGGTCAAATGCTGGTATTAAGGCTGAAAATTGTCTTTTTAAAACAAATTCATCATCCCATGATTTACGCTTGCTTACACCTGCCAATCTATTTTCCAGGGACTCATCGTCCATAAATGTTAAAAGGTTGCGAGATACCATGACCTGCAAAAGTGTATTTCCTACTTCTTCATATTCATCCTCGTTTTCTTCCTCATCATTTTCTTCCTCCATATCATCTTCATCTTCCATATCGCCCAGCAATGTCGGAGCTCTGCAACTTTCTAAGAAGTCTTCTAAGGAAACTTGTTCACTATCACTTGATGTAGAAGTTAAGCTCATTGTTAACGTTGGATTAATGGACGAAGTAGGTGGCTGACCAACTTTTTTATTAGTGGGATTCGATGAAGCATTTTCTCCATTGTTAGATGAGAGGCTAGGATAACTTTGCGCAGTACTTAATAAGCCAGAATGAAAATTGCTAGATAGAGCTAGTTTTACCAAGCTTGTTACGGAGTTAGGTCCTCTGGCGAAAAATGAACCTGTTCCAACGTTTTGATTACTATGTTCAATTTTATTAGAAATTGCATTGTTTGACTGATTTGCATCATTGTTGGTGTCTTGTGAAGTGCGACGACGTGCAATAGCTGTGAATGTTTCTAATAGACCAGTATGAACAGCAACTTCTGATGTAGATGAAACTTCAGACGATGTTGTTAAATTGGGCACACTAATACTCATTTGGTTAGAGACGGAGACAACATCATCTGTAGCCTGGGGGTTTATAATGTTCTCGATTTGACCAGAAAAAGTTGATGCTTGTGGAGTTTTGGAATCAGAAAGGTTTTTATTTGGGGTGGAGGAATTAACAGATTCGTTACCTACACCATCTAATATTTCAGATTTTACAGAAGACTCCGGTTGTATTAATACCGAGAATTTAGCATTTTCCTTTGAAGTTGATGAAACGCTTGTACGAGGTTTTTGTGATTCATCTGCAGACAGTATATTATTAGTATTGTTGCGTAACATGTCTACACCATCATGCATTTTATCAATAATCTCTCGAGGTTCTGTAGAAAACTGAGAAGCACAATGAGAACTAGCTGAATTCATTTGCCTTAAATTTATCAATAGTCCTTTTGCCAAATTATTGACAGAGTTATTGACATTCATCTTATTGTTTTCTTCTATATAAGGTTTACGTTTTACGTCGTTTGATACGATGGAATTAATTTCACCTGGTTTATGTTCACTATGATTCGTACTACTACTTTCTTTTGAAAGCTCAACAACTGACAAACTTTCTGAAATTGTAGCCAGGTCTGACACATTGGGTAAATTAATCGCAGGCATTGAATTATTTATTGTAGATAAGTCCGCAATGTGCTGTAATTCACGAATTAACGGTGATGGAATATTCGATGTCACCAAGGAAGTTTGGTCGCAGATTGCCTCATTGAATATAGCTTGTGTTTCTTTTACTGAACCGGTGCTCGACTGACTTGTTGCTATGTGAGTCTTTGCTGAGGTAAATACATTTTCTGTTATGGTCTCTACAGTATGTTTCCATGCTAGGTTATCAGCTGAAACAGTTTGATTGGATGTATCTTCCGAATTTTTATTTATCTCAGTAGCTTCAGGAAGCGATGGGGTTGAACTAGATTTTCGAGAAACTAACACGTTTGTCTTATCAATTTTTTTAGGTCCTGAAGAAACTGGTAGTATTGAATTAACTCCTTCGAAAATAGAAGCATTCTCCAAGCTAGCTAATTTTAAATCGTATTTACCTTCAGCGCCCATACGATAGGAATTTCTTACACCATGGTCCCATTTAACATCAATCCAACCATTGTGAATTTCTCCAGTTACAGTACCTTCGCAAGACCCATCCTGATCTTCCCAACGCCAGTCAACTCCTCGAACTACTCGTGCTCCACTCGTAATGTGTTTAAGTTGAGCTCGAATTTGACGTCTTTCCCTGCGTGTTTTAGCTTCCGCTTCTTTAATGGTTTTACCTATATCATCACAAACACCTACGACCCGTCCGTAAATTTCAAACCCACTTAAGCTCAAATAATGAGTTTGATTAGAGGCGTTACGACCATTTTGTTGGATTTTTATGTGACGATATCCTTTTGTATCATCAGAAGAACATATTATGGGCCATGTGGCTGTACTTCCGGGTTCTGACAAACTCTTATCATCAACATGATTTATGAGTGTAGTCCAGTTAATTCCGTCTTTTGATGCTTGCAAATGCCAATTTCTTAGCGCGGAGCGACCGTATCCTCTAGCATGGCGCAAAGTGTAAGCGGTTGGCAGAATATATACTCCAAGATCTATTGAAAACCAAGCCTTTTTATTATCTTTTGTGTGGCAGTTGAGGGAAACCCCGTCACGTGACAGTATATCTTCTAGTTTTCCATAGGGCAAAGTTTTACCCTCAGAGCTTGTAACTTGCACTAGACCGTATTGCGCAGGATTGACCCACTCACATGTTTTTCCATTTGATCCAATGTAGTAAATAAGGCCCTCTTCATCAAAATCGAAATTGTACGTAAAGGAAATACCTTGCTTCTGTTCACGCAACTGTTTTAAGTATAAAAATGTAGATCGATCGAGGTCATACCATTGTTTGGCAACCATTTTTAGCAAGTATTTGGCGAGTTGTCCCACTGTTGCCAAAGGTTCTACTTTTAATGTCCGACCCGTTCTATCAAAAAGAGTACTCTCAGAAGGCGCACGTTCCAGTCGAAAGCGAAGTCGTTTTTGAAGTATTTGTAAACCGTAACCAGAGCCGGGAGCATCATACAGGAACAATGGAAGTTTTTCAGTACTTTCTAAGACAGCGACAAGCTTTTGTATAAGGATACTTGCTGTATTTTTCGTATTATATATATTTGAGTCATCACATTCACCGAAAATACATTTTTTAAATATATCAATACGATCCTTTAGCATTTTATTAGTTTTGCAACGTGACACATTGAATTCCCAATAGTTATTAGATAAAACTGCAACCAATGCTTGAACAAGGCCGGAAGAATGCATTTCATATGCACTTACAACACCATCTTCATGAATTAACTTCGAAAGATTGGTTAAAGCCGTCACCAACGTGTTTGACCATTTACTATTAGATGCCACACGTTGTTCCTCAATAGCAAGATTGATTTGCTTCACAATAGCAGTTAGCTTTGCTACTGCTCCACGCGGTATTACTTGAGCGGATTTAAAATATTTATTATAAATTTCACGAGATAAGTTTGACACTTGAACTTTCTGTATATCTGTCTTTGATTTGGAACGTTTTTTTTTTTCAGTAGACCATCCTGAAGCAAAATCGGCACCTAAGGTTGTTTCCGCTGTAAATGAATGTTTTGTTCCTCTGTTACTTTCAAATATAAAGCCTTGAATATCATCTTGTAGTATAGTAACTTGATGACCTTCTGTGTTGTGTATTTGCAGCTGATTAGGTTTATTTGATTGCAACACCCAATTTCCAACAACAAGCCTTAGTACACATACAGTTGGTAAGATTGGCTGTGATGGCGTGCCTGGGCTTACGCTAGATCGAGCTCGTACTAGTTTTTCTAAGAACTCCCCACGATTTTCTGAAAAAAAAATTAAGACATATTCATATTATTCATGATGAAAGCTTAAAAGTATCATATTCATATAATCATTTTAAATATTAAATTTTTGGTATTTTTGAAAAAAAAAAAAAAATCAAGTAAGGCTCTAGTCGAGACAGCTGGACTAGAATACGCCCTGAATCCTCTTTAACCGATATTCTATTCAATCTGCACTTCTTTTATGCACAAATGCATACACGCATCCACACGCACGTTTAATCACGCGCTCTGCTGACAGTGCAGTGTGGGCAATATTATGAGAATTTACTTGTTGAATAATTTCTTTAATATGTGTTTACATTCCAAAGCACATACTTTTAGTACTTGAGTTTTATGCAAATTGGGGCGAAGGGGCGTGGTATCCAAAATCTGTAAATAGCAAAATCTTCGTATCGATCAACTGTATATACACAGTAAATCTGAACTCTCTTGGTCATAGTGTGTTCAAATTAGGCTGAAAAAACGAAATCAATTTTTCGATTGCTCTCGATAAAAAAGTAATCGGATGAATTATCGAAAAAATATGATAAACTTGTATTGCATATGGTACACACGAGTATGCATTCCAATTTTCCGCTCTCTAGCTCTTAGCTTTTGAGATTCGACGCATTTATAAGAACGGACGGATGGGGGTATATCGATTCAGCTCGTCGTGCTGATCAAGAATATATATACTTTATGGAGTCTGCGATGGTTCCTTCTGCCCGTTACATACTTTTTTACAAATCTATTACACCCGGATTTCTCATTTTCAATGGGTTCAGGGTATAAAAACTGGATGGTAATATAATCTAATCTGATTCATTGTAAAAAACTTGCTGAAAATAAGAGGTACACTCATCTTCTTCAACCTGACAAAATAGCAATTAGAATACGAAATAATAAAATAGAAATCATACTTCCTATAGATGGTAAAAGTCGAAAAACAATTATTAATTTCGCATGTAGATGGGCCGAGTGCGGTACGAAACTGATGAACAGATCTCTTAATTTCGTGCGAAATGCTTTAAAGGTGCACCAAAAAAGGCAATAAGTAGACGTCCATCGACAACCAAACCAAAACGTATTAAGATAAATTCAAAAGCCGACACTTTCAAATCTTCAAAGTTCATTGAATCGGTAATGGATATTATTATTAATGCTTCTTCAATTCGGAAATGACTTTAAATGGGTAAGCTATCAGGTCGGATCCAAAACAGGATTCCTTTAATGCGCACTAAAAATTTGATGATGAAGCAAAATTTTGCTGAAGACCACATCACATGGGAAGGATCTTTTATGCACATACACATATTTTAATTTAAACAAGTAAGAACGTTGCAGTCGGGCGTTACCAACTGCAGAATACTCATTCACAC